TAGAGTGTTGGAGGCTATTTTGTAAATGACATCGCCGAAGTCAAGGATCGGTAGGATAGTCAGTTTTACGAGGGCATGTTTGGCAGCATGAGTGAAGGAGGCTTTGTTGCGAAATAGGAAGCCGATTCTAGATTTAACTTTGGATTGGAGATTCTTTATGTGAGTCTGGAAGGAGAGTTTACAGTCTAACCAGACACCTAGGTATTTGTAGTTGTCCACATACTCTAGGTCAGACCCGTCGAGAGTGGTGATTCTAGTCGGGTGGGCGGGTGCCAGCAGCATTCGATTGAAAAGCATGCATTTAGTTTTACTAGTGTTTAAGAGCAGTTGGAGGCTACTGAAGGAGTGTTGTATGGCATTGAAGCTCGTTTGGAGGTTTGTTAACACAGTGTCCAATGAAGGGCCAGATGTATACAAAATGGTGTCGTCTGCGTAGAGGTGGATCTGAGAGTCACCAGCAGCAAGAGCGACATCATTGATATACACAGAGAAAAGTGTCGGCCCAAGAATTGAACCCTGTGGCACCCCCATAGAGACTGCCATAGGTCCAGACAACAGGCCCTCCGATTTGACACACTGAACTCTATCTGAGAAGTAGTTGGTGAACCAGGCGAGGCAGTCATTTGAGAAACCAAGGCTATTTAGTCTGCCAATAAGAATGCGGCGGTCATTGCCAACAAAGGGTATATAACAAAGTATTGAGAAACTTTTGTTATTGACCAAATACTTATTTTCCACCATAATTTGCAAATAAATTCATAAAAAATCCTACAATGTGATTATCTGGAATTTTTTTCCTCATTTTGTCTGTCATAGTTGACGTGTACCTATGATGAACATTACAGGCCTCTCTCATCTTTTTAAGTGGGAGAACTTGCACAATTGGTGGCTGACTAAATACTTTTTTCCCCAACTGTAATTAGTTAAATAAAGGCCACCTGTGTGCAATCTAAGTGTCACATGATCTCATATATATATATATATATACAGTGGGGAGAACAAGTATTTGATACACTGCCGATTTTGCAGGTTTTCCTACTTACAAAGCATGTAGAGGTCTGTAATTTTTATCATAGGTACACTTCAACTGTGAGAGACGGAATCTAAAACAAAAATCCAGAAAATCACATTGTATGATTTTTAAGTAATTCATTTGCATTTTATTGCATGACATAAGTATTTGATACATCAGAAAATCAGAACTTAATATTTGGTACAGAAACCTTTGTTTGCAATTACAGAGATCATACATTTCCTGTAGGTCTTGACCAGGTTTGCACACACTGCATCAGGGATTTTGGCCCACTCCTCCATACAGACCTTCTCCAGATCCTTCAGGTTTTGGGGCTGTCGCTGGGCAATACGGACTTTCAGCTCCCTCCAAAGATTTTCTATTGGGTTCAGGTCTGGAGACTGGCTAGGCCACTCCAGGACCTTGAGATGCTTCTTACGGAGACACTCCTTAGTTGCCCTAGCTGTGTGTTTCGGGTCGTTGTCATGCTGGAAGACCCAGCCACGACCCATCTTCAATGCTCTTACTGAGGGAAGGAGGTTGTTGGCCAAGATCTCGCGATACATGGCCCCATCCATCCTCCCCTCAATACGGTGCAGTCGTCCTGTCCCCTTTGCAGAAAAGCATCCCCAAAGAATGATGTTTCTACCTCCATGCTTCATGGTTGGGATGGTGTTCTTGGGGTTGTACTCATCCTTCTTCTTCCTCCAAACACGGCGAGTGGAGTTTAGACCAAAAAGCTATATTTTTGTCTCATCAGACCACATGACCTTCTCCCATTCCTCCTCTGGATCATCCAGATGGTCATTGGCAAACTTCAGACGGGCCTGGACATGCGCTGGCTTGAGCAGGGGGACCTTGTGTGCGCTGCAGGATTTTAATCCATGAATGGTTTTCTTTGAGACTGTGGTCCCAGCTCTCTTCAGGTCATTGACCAGGTCCTGCCGTGTAGTTCTGGGCTGATCCCTCACCTTCCTCATGATCATTGATGCCCCACGAGGTGAGATCTTGCATGGAGCCCCAGACCGAGGGTGATTGACCGTCATCTTGAACTTCTTCCATTTTCTAATAATTGCGCCAACAGTTGTTGCCTTCTCACCAAGCTGCTTGCCTATTGTCCTGTAGCTCATCCCAGCCTTGTGCAGGTCTACAATTGTATCCCTGATGTCCTTACACAGCTCTCTGGTCTTGGCCATTGTGGAGAGGTTGGAGTCTGTCTGATTGAGTGTGTGGACAGGTGTCTTTTATACAGGTAACGAGTTCAAACAGGTGCAGTTAATACAGGTAATGAGTGGAGAACAGGAGTGCTTCTTAAAGAAAAACTAACAGGTCTGTGAGAGCCGGAATTCTTACTGGTTGGTAGGTGATCAAATACTTATGTCTTGCAATAAAATGCAAATTAATTACTTAAAAATCATACAAATGTGATTTTCTGGATTTTTTAGATTCCGTCTCTCACAGTTGAAGTGTACCTATGATAAAAATTACAGACCTCTACATGCTTTGTAAGTAGGAAAACCTGCAAAATCGGCAGTGTATCAAATACTTCTTCTCCCCACTTATATATATATATACATATACACACACATACACACACACACACACACACACCTGTTCTGAAAGGAGTCAGAACAGGTGTGTGGTGCTCGCTTAGTGGTGTTGCAGACCCAGAGTCTGCAACACCACTAAGCAAGGGGCACCACCAAGCAAGCAGCACCATGAAGACCAAGGAGCTCTCCAAACAGGTCAGGGACAAAGTTGTAGAGAAGTACAGATCAGGGTTAGGTTATAAAAAAATATCAGAAACTTTGAACATCCCACGGAGCACCATTAAATCCATTATTAAAAAACTGAAAAAATATGGCACCACAACAAACCTGCCAAGAGAGGGCCGCCCACCAAAACCCACGGACCAGGCAAGGAGGGCATTAATCAGAGAGGCAACAAAGAGACCAAAGATAACCCTGAAGGAGCTGCAAAGCTCCACAGCGGAGATTGGAGTATCTGTCCATAGGACCACTTTAAGCCGTACACTCCACAGAGCTGGGCTTTAAGGAAGAGTGGCCAGAAAAAAGCCATTGCATAAAGAAAAAAATAAGCAAACACGTTTGGTGTTCGCCAAAAGCCATGTGGGAGACTCCCCAAACATATGAAAGAAGGTACTCTGGTCAGATGAGACTAAAATTTAGCTTTTTGGCCATCAAGGAAAACGCTATGTCTGGCGCAAACCCCAACACCTCTCATCACCCCGAGAACACCATCCCCACAGTGAAGCATGGTGGTGGCAGCATCATGCTGTGGGGATGTTTTTCATCGGCAGGGACTGGGAAACTGGTCAGAATTGAAGGAATGATGGATGGCGCTAAATACAGGGAAATTCTTGAGGGAAACCTGTTTCCGTCTTCCAGAGATTTGAGACTGGGATGGAGATTCACCTTCCAGCAGGACAATGACCCTAAGCATACTGCTAAAGCAACACTCGAGTGGTTTAAGGGGAAACATTTAAATGTCTTGGAATGGCCTAGTCAAAGCCCAGACCTCAATCCAATTGAGAATCTGTGGTATGACCTAAATATTGTTGTACACCAGCGGAACCCATCCAACTTGAAGGAGCTGGAGCAGTTTTGCCTTGAAGAATGGCCAAATATCCCAGTGGCTAGATGTGCCAAGCTTATAGAGACATACCCCAAGAGACTTGCAGCTGTAATTGCTGCAAAAGGTGGCTCTACAAAGTATTGACTTTGGGTGGGTGAATAGTTATGCACGCTCAAGTTCTGTTTTTTTGTCTTATTTCTTGTTTGTTTCACAATAAAAAATGTTTTTTCCATCTTCAAAGTGGTAGGCATGTTGTGTAAATCAAATAATAGAAAAAAAATATATATAATGATACAAACCCCCACCCCAAAATCCATTTTCATTCTAGGTTGTAAGGCAACAAAATAGGTAAAATGCCAAGGGGGGTGAATTATTTCGCAAGCCACTGTAACTATAGACAATTGCTTATGAATGATTTCTGAAGCATCTATATAGGCCTTATGAAAGGTGAAGGCTTCATTATGCCTTAGTCATTTTTCATTTTAAGTGGGATCAATCATTATTATACATGAATGAATGGAATAATAACAAATGAATGAATAATTCATACTTTTCATTTTTAGAAAATAAATTAGGAAAAATGCCATGGGGGATGAATACTTTCGCAAGCCACTGTATGTACTTCTAGGCACATCTCTATCATATTACAGCTTTTGTGTATCCTTTTTTGGCTGATATGTGTATGGCAAGTGTTTCTCTGTAGTCTGTAGCAGCACCAATAGGTATTTCTATCCAAAAAGATTTCTGGCACATTTTCACAGAAAGGGATTTGGCTTTCCTATCAGCAATTTGCCTCAAATCAAATGAACTCTAAATTGTCGTCATTGTCCTCAACTAAAATCCAACATTTAAAAGGATCCACTTGCCAGTGTGGTAGACTAGACAGCCAGCCAGCCTGAGTACGAGACAGCCCCAGCCCCCCCCCCCCCCCCCCCCCCCCCCCCCCATCCTTTGTCATGTTAATGCCCCACTGGCACGGTTTATGAGTACTGGTTGATGTGTGAAGAGCCTGTTGTTAATGGCCGGGCCCTGTTGTCCCACACAAAGACGGCCTTTAACATTGACCCCAGAAGCCTCCCACCAAGCCCCCCAAAAACTCTTCCTGCTCCATAAGAGAGCCGAGCTTCATCTGAAAGGATTCTTTTGTACTGGGAGGGAAAGGGTCCAAGGCGAGTTTGGGCGTGGGGGTTGGGGAGGGTATTTTCTTTGCGCCTGTTTTAAAAACTGTCAGATTTTGTCCAACTTACTTATATTCCTCCCATTACCTGAGGAACTTTGTGAATGCCTTTGAGATTGCTTCTCAACCCTAATAGATAATGTTTTATAGGTTTGGATGTCTTGACAAATGAGAATACCAGCAGTAGTTAACAAAAAAGTACAATAATTTATTATACCTGACACATTGATAAACCTCAATATTGTCCATATGTGGAATCTATTCTGTTTAGGCTATAAGAAAACTCAATGTCTTGTTACTCACATAAATTGTTGATGGGGGATACCAAATCATTGTTGAAAACCTGCCATTTCTAAGAACAACTACTGAACAAAACAGCTGCACCAAAAAGCACATTTATATTATCAATTTATAAAAAGGCAACAGATTCCATACAAAACATTGCATTTCCAATAATTGTTATTCATAGATATGCATTGAGAAAACATTTGAGTAAGCTACAGTATTCTATACATTTACTAGCGAGTTATCGAATTACACATGGGAAATGTATCGATTGGTTGTTGATTTTTTTGGTTGTTGTAAGGAGTAATGAGGCTTAAGTCTAGTTGATGTCCAAGAAAAACAGTCTTACATCTTACATTCGCAATGTGAAACTATTGGCAATGTCAGTTTGTATAGCTATACTATTCATAGGAGACTTCATAATTGTGTGCCAAACTCTGACAGACTGACTTCCACTCAACTTACAGAAGTAAACAGAATTTGGTTGTTGTCTTTTGAGAGCAAACATGGGAGAAGAACACACTGATTCAAGTACAAAAAGAGGTTGTGTGGCTGTCCTAAAAAATTAACTTGCCCTGTAAGTTGAGTCACATTTCACCACACTGAGCTATGAGGATGGGAAGCTTGGGCTTGTTGTTTGGGCCGGTAGGAACATTCTGTGGGAAAGAGGAGTCCAGATAACGTTCAATATAACATTCTAAAATGGTACAGTCATTTCTACACTACGACATTTGTTGGAGACCAAATTAGGGTTGTGATTCTACGACCAGCAATTGACGTAGTGTATACAATGAATTCTGACGTATATCAATCAGATGGTTGTTGCAAACAGCTTAGGACCGGCGACAGATACTTCTCATGTCTAAACAGTGTGTACTCTGATGTGTAGAAGTGGTTTGAGGTTAAACTGAGATTTATTTTTCAACCAGATGTGTATGGGGATATGGTACGTTCGCTTTATAGTACCCTGGCAGTTACAGTTTTTTTTTTTACATTCTTGAGGCACGGTAGCAACAACATAGTCACTACCACTTCCTCAAAATAGTCCGAATTAATCTATGATAAATCATGAAATCTGTAATTTTGACGTTTTTGCAGAGGTCTTAGTCACACAATTTCATATCTAGCTAAGGTGTTTGGTGCAGTATTTCTCAAGTTAAAAACATTTGCATAAAAAAAGTCACTGCACTGCTGACAGTTCGAGTCAGCTGCTGCTAGCTGCACTCAGGACTGATTTCGGAGAACATGTCTACAACTTAAAATCAGCAGCAAGCTGTCAAACTATCGTAAATAAAGCACAAGCTGCTACACGCTGTGTATCAGTGCCCAAAATCACTAGCTAACTAGCAAAGTTACATCTCAGTGTTTGTCAATGAAGCTAGCTAGTAGTAGATAGCAGGCACATTGACCAGCAGGCCACGTTAGCTAAATCAGTTTATCAAGTCACTGGCGAGTGGCAACGTGTGCTTCGGTGCCGTTTAGTTTTTACAACTTTCTCACGATCTATTACCAGAGTATGCGTCTGTCTGGCAGTGTTTCATAGCAAATCATGTGAGCGAAGCTGTTTCTCTGTGCATGACAATTCTCCCTAGGTGTTACAATCCCATGTTAGTGGGCATGATTGTCATCCAAACCCAACCCTCATGTAAATCGTGACGACCTTGATTACACAAACTTCACAAAACTATGTTTTGGAGTATACTGACTATGACCAAAATGATCCTACTTACAATTTTTAGTCCATTTTGGCACTGGAATAAATTTTTCGGACTAATATCAATGCCACATAGGCCATTTTCAGATAAATTGGTGTTTGCGTTCAGTTGCCCTTTAAGCCTAGTCCTGGACTAAAAAGCAAACTCAATGGAGAATTCTTTGTAGTCCAGGACTAGGCTTAATCTGTGTCGAGAAAACAGCCCCAATGTTGTTAACATCTAACTAAGCGAATAATTCAGATGACAAATTAGCCTTGTTATTCTCTAGCACAGTCAAGGACTCAATAATCCAATACTATGTCATCCAAGGTTAAAACATGGCTCTGAAATCACATTTCTAAATCTGGCTTAACTAAGAACAGTATTCCCTGCTTCTACTTCCATGAAACTCACCGGCCCTTAAAGTTTGATCATTGTTGTGAATCATCATTATATCTTGCCCTAGGCACATAAATTCCCAAAGCCTTATCAAATGAAGAGCTTCTTACCTCAATTTTTCTCATGACGAGCAAGCCGTCGACCACTTTCCCTGAAATGTTGAAATAAAATATGTCATGAGCCAAATACACAAACAGCTAATCTTATCCTTTGTAATCCACAATATAGTAATACTCACCGAAGACCACATGCTTTCCATCTAGCCAGTCACATTTCGTACAGGTAATGAAAAACTGACAGCCATTTGTGCCGGGGCCACTGTTTGCCTGCAGAGGACGGATTGGAGGGTTATTACTCGATGCTTCAGCTACAATCGACCAATAACATCAGTTATAATCAATGTCTATTCATATCAATGTTTAATGTCCCCAATGGAGCACGTGTGTATGAACAGCAGTGTGTGTATACGTGTGATTTTTTTGTCTAAAATGTATGTACCATGGACAGGAGGCCAGGGGCAGAGTGCTTCATTCTAAAGTTTTCATCTGCAAATGGTCCTCTGTAGATGCTGCAGATACCTGTACCATCGCCCTACAGATGCACCACAGGGTCAAGGGAAACAAAGGACGACAAATTAGAAGTAGACCGTAATGCTAATTTAAAACAGAGTCCAGAGCCGCAGAGAGCGATATGCCCCCGGCCCGTTACATATTTTGCACCACATTTAATTGACTGTTATCGAGTAGCAGACATTTGCAGCTTCAAACTCTGAAGCACACTATTACAGTTGGGTTCATTAAAACGTTTACCTGCACTGCAATGCAGATGAAGAACATTTTATTTTATTTATTTCACCTTTATTTAACCAGGTAAACCAGTTGAGAACAAGTTCTCATTTACAACTGCGACCTGGCCAAGATAAAGCAAAGCAGTGCAATAAAAACAACAACACAGAGTTACATATGGGGTAAAACAAAACAAAGTCAAAAATACAACAGAAATACATATATATACAGTGTGTGCAAATGTAGCAAGTTATGGAGGTAAGGCAATAAATAGGCTATAGTGCAAAATAATTACAATTAGTATTAACACTGGAATGATAGATGTGCAAGAGATTATGTGCAAATAGAGATACTGGGGTACAAATGAGCAAAATAAATAACAATATAGGGATGAGGTAGTTGGGCGGGCTAATTTCAGATGGGCTGTGTACAGGTGCAGTGATCGGTAAGGTGCTCTGACAACTGATGCTTAAAGTTAGTGAGGGAGATAAGTGTCTCCAGCTTCAGAGATTTTTGCAATTTGTTCCAGTCATTGGCAGCAGAGAACTGGAAGGAATGGCGGCCCAAAGGAGGTGTTGGAAATGCTGCAAAGAAGTAGTTATAACTGCATTGTCAGGGGTAAAGTTCAGAAACAGCAACCCACGTATTTCATTACAGGCAACTGTTAGATGATTGCAAACAAACTTGACGCTGGGCGTCACCTTGTGAGAGTTTCACTGTCACATGATGTACCGTTGCTACAGCCCAGGCATTTCGAAAAGTAACTTCTGAACACACCCATCTGTAAGTGTGAGTTAATCGGTGATGTACTGTTCATTTTCATTTTTGATTTAGACCTAGCAAACCAAAGGTTGTAATGGCCGATCAGTGACATGTATCAACAAATTGACTGGAGTGAAAAAGAAAACCGTGCTCCAGCCTCAGATTTGAGCATCTCTGAAGTAAGTCACAAAACTCAGCTGTAGTTCAGAAACATGTCCACTAGAGCGAGAAAGATGAAAAGGTTCAACTAGCCCCATGAATTGAGCTGACTCAACCAGCCCCTTGGGAGAGGACTGACCACGTGAGCACTGTCTACGACATGGGTAGATGGGGCAACGGTTTCACTGTAAACAAACACGTATTGACTATGGGTAAGTCATCAAGCAATTTATTGAAAGTGCATATTCTGGTTAAACAAATAACAAATTAAAGTGCAATCTCAATGCAAGGAATTACAAATAAATGGTAAATAAATATGTTATTACCGAAACAGAGTACACCTAACTAGAATCAGATGGATTTACAGAAGATCTAGTGCTAGATTATATGGGCCAAATATATGGTAAGTAAAAGTTGCTGACACCTGGGCATGAGCTACGATGAAACATTGGTTACACTGAAATCTAATAAATCATAAAGTTCTTTGTAGTTTACAGTATGGAGAATAAACAAACGGTTTGGCTGGAATTCAAAAAGAACAAATCAGAAACAATAAAGAGCAGTGAATTGACTTACATTTACAAAGTCCCCGCCTTGGATCATGAAGTCCTTTATCACCCTAGTAGATGAGGCAATAAAAAACCTTAAAAAACTGGCAATAGACTGAGGAGCTTTTTATCTAACAATCAAATTATACAAAAATATTCATATTATATCTTACCAAATCATAACATGAGAGAATGTGCTAGAATAGAAAAGCATTACCAACACAAAGACACTAAACACCCCATCAAGATATAGGTTTTATGGATTCAATATTTATTTTATATGCATGTTGTTGCTTGTAAGAAACAATGACTAGCCTATCACAATATCCATCATAGTGATTTGATGTCACATCAAAAATATATGTAAAGTAACATCATCCCACTCAACCATACCTGTGGAATGTGCAGCCTTTAAATCCGATAGGGACACCGTCCTTTCTGTAGGAGAGAGTTTGTACAGATAAATTAGCATGGTACTGGCTCCTTTGCTGTATTGATATACAAGTCACCAGAGTATACAGAAAGCCTCTAACGTTAAAGGAATAGGCTAGTCTACTACAACTAAAGCGCTAGATTTCCTGAAGAAGATGTGTTGAAGTTGGAGCTCATTTTACACCTCCCCAGTCAGCGCTAGGTAGTTAAAGATAGCGCATTCACATGAAAGTAATAAACATTAAGTTTCACAAACCAGACATATACCCTTATTGTTAACAGGGAAATATACAGTCGTTAGTGAGTCTACGCAGCCCTTGCACAGTCTACACATTTTGCTGCCTTAAAATTAAATCCCAAAAGAAAATAAATGTTGTTTTTTTTCCTACTGCAAATTTTCAAAATGAAAATGTTGCTAAATAATACAAACTAAGATATCTTAAACTAAGATATCTTAATTGCGTATGTCTTCACACCCCAGAGTTAATACTAGGTGGAAGCACCTTTGGCAGCCATTACAGCTGTGAATCATTTTGACTAAGATTTCACCATCTTGGGATAACTCTGAGGACAACATTTTACCATTGTATTTGTCAAAATTGGTCAAACAGTACATTTGGTTGGGAATCATTGATGGACAGCAATATTCAAACCTTGTCTCAGATTTTCAAGCAAATTTAAATAAGGACAGACTCGACCACTCAGAAACACTCAACACCTCTCGGAAAGCCATTCTGGTGTCTTAGGCATTCAAATGTATTAATTGTCCTGCTGAAAAATAAAACTCTCAGGAACCAGGTTTTCATCCAACCATTTCATGTGGATGAATTACCTGTCGCATAAAAAAAAGTAACGGCCGGGCTGATGCAAACAGGAAACGTTGGTACAATTTCATAAATGTCGACAGACAATTTGTTCGTTCGACATGGCGGCAACTTTGTGTCTGTAAAATTCATTACGCAAGAAATGGCGGTGGAAACGCCTTTATGCTAAAATATTGATATAATATGGAGTCACGTGATGATATGTTGTGTGGTCCTCCCACTACGACTTGGGAAAGCATGCAGTTTATTAGGCTACAGATTAAATCAATGATGATTTTTTTCTTTTCACTTTGACATAAAGGCCAGTAATGTGGCGTGAATGCAATGTTGTTGATCATCTGTATTTTCAAGTATTGTGGTGGCAGCATCATGTTATGCGTATGCTTGTCACCAGCAGGGACTGGGGAGTTTGTCAGGATCAAAATAAATATGAAAGGAGCAAAGCCCTGATAAGTCTCAGTCTTCTGAATACCTAACCCTCAGATAGTTATTTTTCAGTGGGACAATTACACACATTTTTATGCCAAAGACACAACAGAATAGATTTCCAATAGGTGTTGAGTGTTACTGAATGGCCCAGTCTCAGTCCTGACTTAAATCTGCTTGAAAATCAGAGGCAAGGTTTGAAAATTGCTGTTCATCAATGACTCACAGCTGTAACGGCTGCCAAAGGAGATTCTACCAAGTATTAACTCTGGGGTTTGAAGACCTAATTAATAATAAATAACAAAGATGTCTTGATTATTTATTATTAATTAGGAAACATTTCTATAATGTCTTTCACTTTGAAAATGTGTAGTACATTGGTAGGAAAAAAATATATAATTTAATAAACTTTTTGATAATTTTTACCCTATAGTAGGGGTACTCAACTTTCATGTACTATTTGAGAAGGTCCAGTCACACAAATTTCAGATGGCAAAAGTCCAAATGGATATTCTCATTTAACAGCGTAGTAACAAACCCAACCTTGCAACCCCATACTGTTCAAATGTATCTTGTTGGCGTAGAATTTTAGCAGTTTTAAAGCTCATTTCTACACATTTTGCCATGTCTCATATGTGTTCATATAATACCCGAGTGACTCAACAAAATAAAATTGTGGGCCCCCTGGTGGTCGAGGGCCCAAGGCACGTAATCTGGCCATGCTAACTAGCCTACAATATTTAGATAGCTAGGTATGTTAGCCTAATTTACCTAACATGGGCTACTTGATCAATTTTTTATTGTTAAATTTTTTTGTAGGGACCTGTGGTGGTCCCTATTGATCCCGGTCTGGGTCCGGATCCAGACAGCAGTCTGCCTGTTGAGCATGGCTGCCCTAGAGTAATATTACCATGTAGGATTTTCTTTAGGCCTATATTTGTGACAGTGTCATAGCAGATTACAAGATACATTTTCAAACAGGTTTGAGTTTCAAAATAGATTGAGTGTACAAAACATTAAGAACACCTTCCTAATATTGAGTTACACCCCCTCTTTTGCCATCAGAACAGCCTCAATTCGTCGGGGCATGGACTCTACAAGGTGTCGAAAGCATTCCACACGGATGCTGGCCCATGTTGACTCCAATGTTCCCCACAGTTACATTTACATTTTAGTCATTTAGCAGACGCTCTTATCCAGAGCAACTTACAGTTAGTGAATACATATTTTTTTTATACTGGCCCCCCGTGGGAAACGAACCCACAACCCTGGCGTTGCAAACGCCATGCTCTATCAACTGAGCTACATCCCTGCCGGCCATTCCCTCCCCTACCCTGGACGACGCTGGGCCAATTGTGCGCCGCCCATGAGTCTCCCGGTCGCGGCCGGCTGCGACAGAGCCTGGATTCGAACCAGGATCTCTAGTGGCACAGTTAGCACTGCGATGCAGTGCCTTAGACCACTGCGCCACTCAGGAGTACAGTTGTGTCAAGTTTTCTGGATGTCCTTTAGATGGTGGACTATTCTTGAAACTGTTTAGCATGAAAAACCCAGCAGCGTTGCAGTTCTTGACACACTCAAACCGGTGAGCCTGGCACCTACTACCATACCCCATTCAAAGGCACATAAATATTTTGTCTTGCCCATTCACCCTCTGAATGGCACACATACACAATCCATGTCTCAATTGTCTCCAAGCTTAAAAATCATTCTTCAAACCCATCTCCCCCCCTTCATCTACACTGATTGAAGGGGATTTAACAGGTGACATCAATAAGGGATCATAGCTTTCACCTGGAATTACGTGGTCAGTCTATGTCATGGGAAGCTGTTCTGTACACTCAGTGTATATTTCGAATAAAGTACTCGTCATTTCCATTTTTGTTATTTCAAATCACAGTAATATTTACTGCTGTGAATAGACAAGGGGTTGCAGAGCTGACACAAAGGAACTGGCCAGATTACTGTCTTCTAACTTCTGCTTAACAGCCTAAACAATAAGTGAAAAGGGACGTTTACCACAATTAACACATGTACTGGGGAAAAACAACACTCTATACACCTGTTCCACTAAGTGGACACCATGGCCACTGAACAGGCTGCAGGTACATTCTTTTAATCTAATACTGAACTCTTTTCAAGGGTCAACTATGCTAGTTCTAGCTAGAGTTGGGTGTGGGGAAGGGAGTGGAAAGGGGTCTACAGCTCCAATAGATGGCGCTATAAACACCTTAACCTGCTAGATACTTGTGTCAAGTGAACAATAAAATCTCTCCTGACTACAGTCTCACACAGTGAATGTGCTTGTAACTGTAGAAGTATATGGGTACAGTTGGGTGTTCACAGCGAGTAGATAAGCAAGTGGAACAGGGATCAATAGACAGCCACTCTAGTGTCCATAGAGATTCCCTTACCTGAATTCCCCTGTGCAGAACTGCCTGTAAAAGACAAAAGGGATTTATTTATTCTACAACATTATGCCATACTGAATGTGGCCTTGATGTGACAGTTTAGACTTGAAGGCATGATTTTGCACTAGAAAGTCATGAAATTTGTTTAGGTGGTGAATCTCTTGGTGTTTTATATTACCGGAAGTTCTCTGCCGTCTTGGGAACCACATCCGCAAAGAGTTCTACCTTCATTCTCCCAACTTCCTGGAAAACAGTAAGTCAAAGGGCTGAGTACGGTAAACACTCCACATGCAAATATTGACAAGCGAGACCACAATGGTCATATAATGAAAGCATCACCTTGCTTGACCGGGTTTTGAAAGCCGTTTTTGCCCACATTCATATTTCCTGGTATGCTTAGCAATTAGTATGTCTAAGCTACATTCATTGTTTTGCACGAGGAATGGTTTTCTAGAAGCAGTGTAAAATGTATATGACAAAACATAGTCTCTATATCTTTTGACCAAAGAACTGGTTTCTTATATTCAACAATGTTTTGTTATCATCATATTCACATGGTATGTCAGCTTACTCAAATTAAATGACTAATAGGCTACTTAATGAACACCTGTTCCCACTGGATTAATTAAGCAGTATCAACTGTAGGGTTGTCATGATAACAGTAAGACGATACTCGATTTTCCATGGCAAAAAGGAAAATACGAAGCAGACTAAACTCTTTGAAAACCTGCTTTATGTCAAATATTGTGCTACAGGTTGGGAATTCAGCCCCTCTGAAAAGAGCCGTTTGTCTCCAAGGCATCGCTGGAGAGCTTCTGTGTTGTTAAACTAATTGGAAGGTGCAGGAGCACCCTCCACTCAGCCAACACGTCGCACACTTCCATTTTCACGGTAACTGCATCATAAGCGCCCAGTGGATCCTTTGCGCAGTGTAACCTGATAGACCATACATTGGCTTTTACACCCTAGTCTAGTGTTCCTTTCATCATTGTTAACTAACCATTTATTCAGGGTGCGACCGAAATCTAGACGTGGCCTTTGTTCCCCTTGGAGCCTGTACATTTCACTTCCCCTAGACCAAAACAAACCACGTGACTCCTTAATATCCTGAACATTTACAGAGATCAGCAAATAAACACTGGCTGGACTCTGGCTGCTCTAATGCAGGGGTTGGGTCACTGAGGTGGTAGAGAGTTCTTTATTGCGTTGAACAGATAGCAGAGTAGATGTGTCATCCCCCCTTCTACACACCTTACATAGCCCTCAGCCTGCTATGCAAAACAGGCCATTACATTTCTAAAATGTCCAAGCAGCATATGCCAGCTAAGCTATTAGCAGCACGTATCATGAACATCACAAACATGTCATTTTAAAAAACAGTTACACTGCTCAGGCCATTCATTTACAGTACACATGCATTTGAGCTATATTCAACTCCAGACTACCAGATGATGGGGGGGGGGGGGGGGGGGGGGCAACATGATAAAATTGATATCTCTAGACCATAAGCTTCGACTCTATTTTACGGGAATCATTATTGATGGATGTCTCGGGTTTGAACAGTGTTGGCCCCATATTGGCATCACAGCAAGAGAGCATGTTTGTAAGACACTGACTCTTCAACAACCAATAGTTTCTGCATGGCCTTAGTGGTGAATCCTCACCCCACCTAAAACTCAACCACAAAAGGCTATGCAAAACAGAGAAAAGGTAGCACCTGAGGAGGGAAGGGCAAGGTGGGTGGGTGAAACTGCCAGGTAGAATTACAGGCGTGTCGGGTTGGCTACAAGGCTAGTTTCACCCAGGAAACCCTGAGCAGGTAATAGACCCACCCACAATGAGGCAGAACATTTACGATATAATAAGGAAGGACTGTGCTTGCCAATCAATCCTAGCCTATGCTAAGAGTAAAGCACATACACCTGTTGATGCTGCCACTGGATCTCCAACTACACATACATGACCAGGATTACCCACAACGATTAAGAGGTAGGGCCTACATGCAAAGTGTTCAAAAGATCACAGTATTACGTGGATTGATAGCTTTTTCGATGTCATCGTAAAATAATTCTTAATGATTAGTTTTCAATAGCGCTGAGGGGTGGGGCTGGCTGAATGTAGCCTAATCTTGCTCAAATTCATAGATGGAGCTATGGATGCAAGGACAGACATTCCATGAGATCAGCATGATAGTTAAAACCTTATTTTGAAGCTTTTCATCTTTAAAGATTCCTGTTACTGTATGTGGAAATATCTGGGTTAAGCAATAGCATTGCACCAAAAGAAGGCACACATTTTCTCCTACATGTTGGCAAACTTGTTTTTTATAGCAAAAAAATTGTAAATTAATTTACTGCCATAACTGAAATGTTAGCCTTTGTCTAGCTTCAGCCTGTCACCAGTGAAATAAATACAGTACATAATAGGCAACTGTATTTCTTAACACTTGAGGTTGGTGGACTCCACCCCAGTGGGAGTTGAAACTATTTTTGGCATCTCAGATTGTTCTCAGAATTCTCACATAGGAACTTCATTGGGAAGAAGGGTGTTTAACATGTGTTTTTTTTAAAACATATTTTTGTATCACAAACCATTTTTGAAAAAAGCATGATCAAATTGGCAATTTTAGGCCCTTTTTAGACCTATACATGCCACCTGTAAGACCCTATGATCTTTGAACCGTACATGATACAGACAACATATTGGTGTCATTATACTCCTTATAACATTCTCATAAATATGGAGTAGGCCTATATCAAGATTCTGAAATACACATTTTCACATTAATTTATTCAACATAAAATATTATAATATCTTAAAACTACCCTTTTTGATTTTGCTAATTTTAAGACATATTGTTTGTAACAATATACTCTTCAAACTAGGGCTGGGCAATATGGCCTAAAAATGATATTTATGCTTCTTCAAACTTATGGGCAATTCACAACATACAGTGCCTTCGGAAAGTATTCAGACCCCTTGACTTTTTCAACATTTTGTTAAGTTACAGCCTTATTCTAAAATTGATTAAATAGTTTTTTCCCCCCTCATCAATCTACACATAATACCCCATACTGACAAAGCAAAAACAGGTTTTTAGAAATGTTTGCTAGGAGACTGATACAATCAGTTTCACTTACGTTAAAGACTATCAATAACATTTCAACTAATTATCTACTAACCCTAGCCCTAACCCTGAACTTAACCCTAACCCTTATTCTAAACCTAACCGTAACCCTAGCAAGCAGTTGCTTATCAACAGATAGTTTGTTGATAGTATGACCATCTGTAGAGCATCTTATTCTAAAATGGATTCAGTTGTTTTTCTCCCCCTCATCAATCTACACACAATACCCCATAAAAAAAAAAGGTTTTTAGAAATTTGTGCAAATGTAATTTTAAAAACGAAATATATCATTTACATAAGTATTCAAACCCTTTACTCAGTACTTTGTTGAAGCTCCTTTGGCAGTGATTACAGCCTCGAGTCTTCTTGGTATGACGCTACAAGCTTGGCACACCTGTATTTGGGGAGTTTCTCAGATTCTTCTCTGCAGATCCTCTCAAGCGCTGTCAGGTTGGATGGAGAGCGTCGCTGCACAGCTATTTTCAGGTCTCTCCAGAGATGTTCGATCGGGTTCAAGTCCGGGCTCTGGCTGGGCCACTCAAGGACATTCAGAGACTTGTCCCAAAGCTACTCCTGCGTTGTCTTGGCTGTGTGCTGCTTAGGGTCGTTGTCCTGTTGGAAGGTGAACCTTCACCCCAGTCTGAGGTCCTGAACGCTCTGGAGCAGGTTTTCATCAAGGATCTCTCTGTACTTTGCTCCGTTCATCTTTCCCTCGATTCAGACTAGTCTCCCAGTCCCTGCCGCTGAAAAACATCCCCACAGCATGATGCTGCCACCACCATACTTCACCATAGGGATGGTGCCAGGTTTCCTCCAGACGTGACGCTTGGCATTCAGGCCAAAGAGTTCCTTCTTGGTTTCATCAGACCAGAGAGTCTTGTTTACGTGCCTTTTGGCAAAAAAAAATTGGTACCCTTCCCCCGATCTGTGTCTCGACACAATCCTGTCTCGGAGCTCTACGGACAACTCCTTCGACCTCATGGCTTGGTTTTTGCTCTGACATGCACTGTCAACTGTGGGACCTTATGTAGACAGGTGTGCGCCTTTCCAAATATTTTTATTTTATTTCATCTGTATTTAACCAGGTAAGCCAGTTGAGAACAAGTTCTCATTTACAACTGCGACCTGGTCAAGATAAAGCAAAGCAGTGCGATAAAAACAACAGAGTTACACATGGGATGAAACAAAACATACAGTCAAAAACACAATAGAAAATCTATGTACAGTGTGTGCAAATGTAGTAAGTTATGGAGGTAAGGCAATAAATAGGCCATAGTGCAAAATAATTACAATTTAGTATTAACAGTGGAGTGATAGATGTGCAGAAGATGATGTGCAAATAGAGATACTGGGGTGCAAATGAGCAAAATAAATAACAATGTAAATAACAATATGGGGATGAGGTAGTTGGGTGGGCTAATTACATTTTACATTTACATTTTAGTCATTTAGCAGACGCTCTTAACCAGAGCGACTTACAGGAGCAATTAGGGTTAAGTGCCTTGCTCAAGGGCACATTAACGTCATTTAGCAGACGCTCTTAGCCAGAGCGACTCACAAATTGGTGCGTTCACCCTATAGCCAGTGGGATAACCACTTTACAATTTGGGGGGGGGGGGTTAGAAGGAATACTTTAGCCTATAGATGGGTGTGTACAGGTGCAGTGATCGGTAAGCTGCTCTGACAACTGATGCTTAAAGTTAGTCAGGGAGATAAGTGTCTCCAGCTTCAGAGATTTTTGCAGTTCGTTCCAGTCATTTGCAGCAGAGAACTGGAAGGAATGGCGGCCAAAGGAGGTGTTGGCTTTGGGGATGACTAGTGAGATATACCTGCTGGAACGCATACTACGGGTGGGTGTTGCTATGGTGACCAATGATCTAAAATAAGGCGGGGATTTGCCTAGAAGTGATTCATAGATGACCTGGAGCCAATCATGGTAAATTCAATTGAATTTACCACAGGTAGACTCCAATCAAGTTGTAGAAACATCAAGGACAATCAATGGAAACAGGATGCACCTGATCTCAATTGAGTCTCACAGCAAAGGGTCTGAATACTTATGTAAATTAGGTATATTTATTAAAACAACCTGTTTTCGCTTTGTCATTATGAGTTATTG